GATGTTTGATGTTGCATTTTGGTCTTTCGTTTTGTCATTTTCGTATATTTTCGAGCCTCAAGTGTTGTTTCAAGTGAGGGAGAGGGTTCCCCCAGACCGTGTCTAGGCCCGACTGGCTGGGCCCACAGGGAACCTTGGCCTGGCCCCTCAGGCGAGGAAGAGTGTTTCCCGAGACTGGGACGGGATTCTGTGCCTAGGCCCCACTGGCTGGGCCCGGAAGGAAACTGCGCGCTGGTCCCCAGGTGACAAAGAGTGTTCCCCGAGACTGGGACGGGATTCTGTGCCTAGGCCCGACTGGCTGGTGCCGGCAGGAAAGCGCACTCTGGTCCCCAGGAAACAAAGAGAGTTCCCCTAGACTGGGGCGGGATTCTGTGCCTACCTGACTCACTGGTCCCAGCAGGAAACCGCAGGCAGATCCCCAGACAACGAAGAGAGGTCCCCCAGACCGGGGCAGGATTCCGTGCCTCCATTTGACAGTTTCTTAAAAATTAAACTGAAAGGTTTTTGGCCCAAACAGGACACTGTAGCCAGGAAAACCTCAAAGGGAACCAGGAAGCCCCTATCTCTCCTGCCCCTAGGAATTTACATGTGACTCTGTCTTCCCCGCCCCTGGGAATTTGCCTATGGTGCCAAACCTAGGACCAATGGGCTACCCGTGCATCCCTGATGCTCCCTTAGGTTCCACCTCAAACCAAGGGTACTTACATACCCCCACGCCACGTGTCCGCGAGAGAGATCGCCAGACGCCAGCGGTGGGGGTGCCGGTCATCTCTCTCCGTGTTCTCAGAATAAAGGTCTCTTTTTGTTTTATACTTCTCATCTTTTGGAAATACTTTTTATCTTTTGGAAATAATCCTATCATAAACATGCCCTTCCCACAGGATCCTTGAGGTCATATTCCCTGGTGCTCCACCAAAAGGAGTTGAAAACTTAGTGTAGAGACCTGAACAGTGGTGTTTGTAATTGCCAAAACTTAGAAGCAACCAAGATGTCCTTCCATAGGTGAACTGATAAATAAACTGTGGAATGTCCTGAAAAAGTAACATTACTCAGCACTAAAATGAAATGAGCTCACAAGCCCTGTAAAGACATGAAACTATTTAAATGCTTATTACTAAATGAAATAATCCAATCTTAAAGGGCCACATACTGCATGACTATGTAACCAAATGCAATGAGTTTGCCCTTGGATGAGTGCAAAGCCAATAAGCACAACCACGAAATAAAAGAGTGAAGAATGGTTTACTACTTACAGCAAGCAAGGAGCATACTGGGGTAATTCACAAAGCAGTGATGCATTAAACAAAGCATGCGGGGAGAACATGGCGGACAGATAACAGCAACTACCAGAGGCTCTCTGAAAGACTCGGCTCAGAAGCCAGGAATGGTGCAGACTAAGGAGACATAAGCAGGTGGAGATATGCTCTGCTGACTCAGGAACGAACTGGGCTGAGAGAAACCAACTTGGAATGCAGTCCTGGTGCTAAAACAGGAACAGAAAAGCCTCGGTGTGGAGGCTGGACCCCGCACCATTGTAAGCCGCGATTTGGGTTTCCCGCCACGTGGCGGCTGGCTGCCTCTACAGTGGCTCGGCAAGGAGAGAGATGCGCAGAAGCTCTGAGAACAGCAATCTGCAAACGGCAGGGAGGCGTGCTGACTTGTGGTGAGGTGAGTGAGAGAAGCTGACACTCTACCACAGTTTGACTCCAGCGGAGGACTTTCTGGGCCCGAGCAGTCCTGCGGGAGCAGGGCGCGGTGGCGACTCCAGCCACACATCCCCCTCTCGGGCGGGATTGGTGAAAAGTGCCTGGCCTGCGTGACGCTGCCGGCGGACCTGGTAGGCTGTCCCAACCCATATCCCAGAGCCTGACGGTGGCCGGGAGGGGAGACGAGTAGGCTGCCTGGTCCGTAACTCCCTGGTGCGCAGCGGTGAGCGGGAACACCTAACTGGCGCAATTCGATCAGGCTGTGGCTGACTGGGAGAGAAGCTGGGCCTCTTATATAAGCTTGCATATACAAGGAACAGAGAAGAAGAGGCAGCATGGGAAGAGGCAGCAACAAGAAAGGCTCCTCGGCCCCCAATTCTGAGAAACAGGCAATAGCAGACACCGCACCAATACACATAAGGCACCATATAGAGAGCCTCATAGACCAATTCAGGAATGAAGTTATCAATGACCTGAAGCTAGAAGTATGCAGAATAGTTAGAGAAATGCTAAGTACCACCCAAGAAAAAACAGGTGGTGGAATGGAAGAACAGAAAAAAAGGGGAGAATTGTTTGATGGAGAAAACAGAGAAAGCATAGAATACGTGAAGCAGGTTCAAAGGGACTACCAAGATACTAAGAAGTCTATAGAAGACTGGCATAACAGCTTGAAAGAAACTAAGGACAGACTATCTGAACTGGAGGGCAGATTTGTAATATGGGAGAATGAAATGAAAAACTTCTTAAAAATAACAAAGAAACAAACAGCAATGATACAAAGACAAGAAGATGATAAGAGGATCCATAACTTAAGGATTAAGAACATAAAAGAAGAATTAGGGACACAAACAAGTGAACTACAAAAGCTACTCACAGAAATAATCCAGGAGAATTTTCCTAATTTAGCAAAAGGTAAAGATACTCAGATGTATGAGGCATACAGGACCCCAGCTACCTACAACCCAAACAGAGCAACACCCAGGCATATAATAATAAAAATTCCAGAAATTCAATACAAGAACAGAATATTAAAAGCTGTAAGAGACAAGAAACAGACCACTTACAAGGGAACACCCATCAGAATTACAGCAGATTTCTCTGCACAAACCATCAAATCACGAAGAGCATGGGGGGAAATAATTCAAGCTTTGAAAGATAATAATCTCCAGCCAAGATTGAGATATCCTGCACAACTGTCCCTGGAAATTGATGGAAAAACAAGGTGCTTCCAGGATAAAGAGGAACTGGGGGAATTTGCAACCACCAATTCAACTCTACAGAGAGTATTGCAGGATATTCTAAAAAAAGAAAAATACAAAGAATCCAGAAATAATGGCAGAGAGGCCACAACGAATGGAGCAGAGAACAAAATAAAGAAGACAAACTGACAGCTACTGACAGAAAAAGAGCTCAACAGAAATGAGGCAGAGAAGATTGGATGATAGGAACAGCTATTTTGGAGAAAATGACATCTTAATAGGTAATACTGATTTAGTATCATCTTGTTTTGAAGTCTCATCTAGCTTTTGTCCTTCTGTCTCCAATGGTCTAAATAGGCTGTATCTTATTGGATTTTATTATGTACGATAGTATAAGCAAAAACCTTTTAAAGACAAGGAGATTATACAGAAACCATTGTTCATTTTCTGTTAGTCGATTCTAAATACTCTGTAATGCTGTCATTCTCTTGAATGGTTTTACATTGTTTTGATATACTTAATGCTACAATATACCAAGTTGTACTCAAGGATTTCAAAGAAAGAGACAATATGGTAACTACTTTTAGGTTAGGATTATCTGGTGGTGAAACACTATTCTGCTTAAATGGTTATGTTTTGATCTGCGCTGTTTCATTGTTATGCCCTCTTTTATCTCAATCTCCACTCCATTATTTACTTTTTTATCTTTATCCTTTTAATTAAAGGAAAAAAAATAGCAGGATATATTATAGTAACCCACTTTGACTTTTCATTACCTTGATTTAAAGCCCTGTATTACTCTCACCATCTGGTTTTTAACTGATGTTCCCCTATTCTGTTTTGCTGGATAGTATCAGGTTCGAAAGTTTAGGCATCAGCTGTGAAGATAATGAGATTCATTATGACGCCCATTCTTGTTGACTTTTATCTATTTTTGAAGACCTACAATGTCTCCAATGTTTTGGTTTTGTCGGTTTTATTCTTTACTGTTTTGTTCAGTTGTATTATAACTAACGATATAGGCAATTCTATTAGAGATAGCGGGAGGCATTATGGTAACCATTGTTGATCACCTTGTATTATGTTTTTACATTATCTATTATGTCCACCCTTTTGACTTGACCGATTCTGTTCTGTTATGTCACATTTGGTTTTACTCTCTTCCAAAAAAGTAATAAGAACCGTGGGAGCAATGAAACCCAAAATGTGTAATAGTCATGGTACAAAAGAGAGGAAAAGAAAGTGCTCCAAACTATATAACTGCATGTATATTTAAGTGTATAAGATAGAAAATGATATCACAGAGTTTTATTGGATCAATGAACAGAACTGTTTGCAGTATCATTGATGGAATGTCCACTTTACAAGCTTTAATTTTGTGACTTGAACAATTATTTCTAAGATGACAATATGTAATCCATTAACTAGTGATTTCCTACTGTTCATTTTTTTTCTGTAAATCTGTATAACTTGTACCCTTTCCCTGCTTTTTTTTTCTTTTCTCCTTAAATAAAATTTAAAAAAAAAGATAAAAAAAAAAACAAACAAACAAAAAAAAAAAACAAAGCATGCAAGGGCTTTTATTGGGAAAACTTAAACACATATCCATATAGGAGAGACTATTCATTACATGTAGAGGCAGGAACGTTCCTGAGTATGCTCAAATTCAAGGTCATATATTACATGTTTTTAAAAATGGCAGAAGGCAATGCTTCTGGGTGAATTCGGTGGTACTATGAGCAAAGGTTACTCTACAACACCTAAAAAGAATGAATCAGGGTGACTCAGCAACTTTGGATGGTTCCTTCCAAGTTTCTTTGGAGGGTTTTATCTGAAATAAACAGAGACTCTGAAGGAACACTAAAGGTAATTTAAAGAAGTAGCAACGTCCTCATCCTCCCCCTCAGCATAGATACTTGTCCCTAAATGAATCTGTCTAGTAACCAGCAATTCCAACTAGTAGATGGCATTTGGGAAAAGGTAAAATTATAGAGACAAGAAAACAATCAGTGTGTGCAAGGGACTGGGGAGAGGAGGTATAGACAGAGCACGGAGGATATTTAGGGCAATGAAACTAATCTCTCCAATTTTGCAGTGGTGAAGACTTGTCATACATTTGTGCAAAACATAGAATGTAAACAGCAAGAGTGAACCCTAATGAAGGTATGGAGTTTGGGTGATGCGAGTCCGTGTGGGTTCATTAATTGCAACAAATACACCAATGTGGTCCAAATCAGTACTTGGGAGGTATTGTGTTTAATGAAACACTGTTTTATGTTCAGTTTGGCCATGAACTTAAAACTGCTGCACTCTTTCTTTAGGTTTAACTCTTACAAAAAGATTTTCTATAATAACAAGAACAGCAACAACAACAAAACCACACCTGGTTTGAAAAGGGTCCCGATAGGTGTTACATGTTGCCCTTCAATGTTACAAATTGTCCTTAACTGTATGTAATGTTTCACTTCAGAACCTTGATGCAAGTCTGTGGGAATGAAATCTATGCACCTCAATAATGAGCAAAGAAACTTGAACACACAAAGTGAGGGAAACAACAGGAGAGAAAAAAGGCAACAGAGCAAGCGCTTTCTGCCTTGGGAGGTAATTAGGAAGCCCTTTCAGAGCTAGCCTTCGGGGACCCTGAGCTGATGAATTGCGCTTGCAGGCCAGTGCTGGCAAATCCTTGCTTGAGACCTAGTCCCTGGCACCTTCCCTCCCAGCGTTTTCCCCTTCCCCAAGTGAATCAGTGCTCCTGTCCCTGGCACCCTATTAAAGTATTTTGTTAATAATGATGGCTACAGTGTTATCTCTGATGAATATTTGAATTTTTTTACTTTTGGATTGTTAAAGATGCAAATGTATGTGTTTCTAAGATAAGGGCGTTGGGAACTCCCTATTACTGGGAACTTGGGGATGATGGAATTTTCTGCCACTCCCACAACTGAACCATGTGGGTGCCTCCCTGCCATTGGTTTCAAGGTCAGACTTAGGATATGAACATCCTAGATAAAATGGTGAGACCTGTGTGAAGCCTTTTTGCATTTGTGGCTTTTGTTAGCAACATGATGTAGAGCCCTGCTTCTCAAAGTGGGGTCCTTGGATCAACTGCTCAGAATTACTCTAGGAACTTTTGCTTTGAAGAGAACCTCTGGATCCTTCTGCATACCTGAACTTTCACAGTTTCCTTGGGTAATTCTGAGGGATATGAAGCAGAAGACTCAGATATTTTTTATGCATATTAAAGTTGAAAAATCAGAGCTGTAGAAAAGACCCACAACCCTGTCCATACATTGGATTCAACTGTGGTACTTCTTTACATTTTTGTGGTTTCCATGTCACATTCCTGGACAGATTATTATTACTGGTCTAGGGTAGGTGCCAGGTAGCAGTGTATTTTAAATTCGTATTTTAAACCTGATACCAAATCTGGTTTTTTAAGGCTTGCCTTATGAAATTCCCAGTCCTCAATAAATTCTAACCTCATCTTTTCCCTCTAACATGCTTTTAGCACACTGTTGGGTGTTACTTTCTCTAAGCACAGTAAATGTACTTGACTTTCACTTCTCAGGTTGTGCTGATGACATGTGTTAGCAAAAGAAAAATTGCTATCTATCTATGCTAGGGTCAAAAACTGACAGAATAGAGAGCTGATGTCTGACAATGATTTTTGTTGTTGTTCTCAAGCTACTTAACCTCTTTGACCTTTACTTCCTTTTGTAAAAACGAGAATTTACAATACCTCTCCTGTACCTCAGAATCATTAAAAGGCAAAGAACTTACTGTCTGTCAAAGTGATCTACAACCTGGAAAATTCTTCCTTAATATAATGTGATACCTCTAAACTATAATAGCTCCTATTTATTGAGCACCTATTACAGGGTCAGAAAATGCATGACTCATGGACTATGCCCTCAATTCCACTATCTCTAGCAGACATTTGGTGGATCTCAGACAATGGAGCCCCAAAGACTGGCACTTTGATATTCCAAGAGGTCTTAGTAGTAGCTAGCTTAGAACCAAGATTGTTCTAACTTTGTCTTGTTTCTCCCTATCATGCTCTTGGAAGGGGCTGTGTGTGGAATCCTTCCCAGACCAGAACTGGCAAAGAGGACACCGTTACCTTTGACCCTCTTCCCAGAATCTTGTTCTCTGTGACAGTAAAGAAGACTGAGCAATATAACCATGGTTGGAAAAACTTTGTCATTACAAGAGCCTGTCTGCCTTTCAGCTGTATTAGCTCTGAGTTACTGAGTGGAATACTTGTGGCAATAAATTGCACAGAGGAAAGATTTATTTTGGTTCACAGGTCTGGAGCTCCCAGCCATGATTAGGCAGTTTCCTTCTCTGGGCCCTCATCAAAGAAAGTACATTGTGATCAGAGTGCATGGTGGAGCAAACCACTGATGTTATGAACTAGGAAGCAGAGAGACAGCCCCTTTGGAGTCATGCCCCCAATGACCCACTGGCTGCATCCCTTAAATGTTCCAACACCTCCCAATTGTGCCACTGAGGACCAAGACTTTAATGCATGGATCACTGAAGAACGCTATCCATATTCAAACCATGGTGCCAAACTCCAAACAACCATTCACAAGTTAATATCCGTCTCCTGTGTCATCATTATTATCTAATAGCTCTCTATCCTTCTTCCCTATGTAGAGGATTTGAGTGTTAGTACTTTGACCATTTTCTGAGTCTTATACTGTGTATGACTTATATGTTTATGTACTCTAATAAATTTACGTTTTTCCCTGTCAACCTATTGTCAGTTTATTTCCTAGACTAAATGTTTTGAACCTAATAGGGAAAGGCAAAAATTTTAAATTCCTTACATGTAACTCCTGAAGCATGATAATCATTCCTAAAACAGGCCTGATGACCTTAGGTGTTTTTGATATAGAATTCTGTCAGCTTGGACAAAGGATCTAGGCTGCCACTCTTGGCTGGGCTGCCAATCCTGTCCAGCTACCTTTCAAGCACTATAGAAGATACTTTATTAAGCTTCCTTTATTTAATCTTCATAACAACCTAATGTGGCAGATTTTGTTGTGTCCCTTTTCCAGATAGGGGAACTGAGACTCAGATAAATTATATAACATGAACTTAGTAAGTAGCAGAGGCTTATTCCTAACCCTGGTTGTCTTTCCTCATAGACTATATTATTCCTATAATGATTATTTATTTGATTATGCCATGTAAGTATCAAGTTCTTTGATACAAAGTAGGTTGATATGGTTATGCCTATGAGGCATAACCTTACCTATGAGGTTGGTGACATTGATGTTAGGGGGTCAAATTCTAACTTTACCTTCTTGAATTTTGGGGGGGCTGGGTCCGAGAATTAAACAGATATAAGCCACATTAACAAGAAAAAAAACATAAAATTCATTCAATACAAATTTAACATGGTAGGAGGCTCTTTGTAAAGAAATGAAAATGCCAAACATGACAGAACAAGAGATCCTACACTAGGTTTCACAGAGGCAGTGACAAAAGTAACTATGTGCAGAGGACCAAGGAAGATAAAAATTATTTTAACAAGATGTGCACAGAATTCTCTTATTTCAACCTCCTAGCATTTATGATATTTCTTTCTTTCTGGTAGAGAGAAGACACTTCTCTATGGGGCTTTTATGTCTACCTTTGAGAAAAAAAAGAGGAGGGTCAGATCACCCTTCTGGCACCTGTCATCGTATTGTTGCTGCTGTTACTGTTGTTTTTTAATATGACTTTAGCTCAAGATAATCCTCGTGCTAAAGTGTCATATTTTGGGGCCGTGTATTCTACCATCCACAGCATCTATCTAGGGAAATCTGAGAGGTGCTATGTTTCCTGAATTCAGAAAGTTAGCACTTGACTAAACACAGGAGACATAGAACAGATGCAGGACAGATGCAGATACCGGCCACAGACTCCCGCCTCTCTTACCAGTGAGACCTGCCTGATTCCCAGGGCTGCAAATCTACAAGCTGATGTCCTTGGACAGAGGCTTCCTGCTTTCACTCATCTTCCCCACCCAAAAGAGCATGGCTACAATAGAGACAATAAGTGTCTGCCCGGAAGGAGCCAAGATAACCTTGAAGGGAATAAAGGACTGTGCATATTGATGGTGCAATTTGAGTACATATTGATTTCTAGTAACTGGTGTCTGGGATCTCAGCTGATATAATAGGTTGTAGGACTTACTTGTAAATAAAATTACAGAATTCTTTATTTTTTAACCCTTCAACCCTTGGAGGATCATGTTATTTTTATTTATAAATATTCAACTGATGAAGAATTCAGTGTAGCCTATGGCTTGGTGGTTACCGATTCCAGGAATAACTAACAGGCTGCAAATCCTATAGGTGGCTACAGAGACAGTCCTGACCAGATTACAAACATGATTTTTCCATTGAGGAGTTGGTAATGCATAGAATTCTCCTAATGGGGGGAAGTTCCTATTGGGAAACAACCATGTTGATTTTTCTACTGGAAGGATGGGGGTGCAGTTCTGGAAATTTCTTTCTCAACTGGATCAAACACAAAAACCAGAGACAAGCATGAAATTCTGCTCTATTTTACCTTATCATCAACAGTTGTTAAGTCACTTACATTTATGCAACAAACTGTGCTTTTAGGATACTGTTCCAAAGTCTTTTTTCCCCATCACTGTCATGTCATATAAAGTCATTTTCCAGGCTGGGCATGAGAACAGAAGTGGGCTGACTGTCTATTGGTAGATCCCAGGTGAATAAACATCTAATAACGTTGCAATTGAAACAGCTGTTCATTGAGCTATCCATTGTTCATTTGCTGAGCACCAGGGCCTGTATTTAGTTTAGATGGGGAAATATACAAGCATTATGCTTCACATTTACAATGTCCCCCCATGGTCTCACATGTTCAGAGATGGGCTTTCAGGAGGTGATTGGATCATGAGGGCTCTATACACATTAGTGGATCAGTCCTTGAATGAGGTCCCAGCTCAGTGTGCTGTTGGGAGATGGGGCCCGGCTGCACGATGTGGTCCCCTGGTTGTGTGTCTAGGAGGATACGTCTTTTACCCTGACTCTTTCCTGCTGCTTCTGCTTCCCAGTACCATAGGTTGAGCAGCTTTCGTTTGCCAGGCCCATTTACGCTTTGGAGACAGAGATCCAAGGACTGAACCCCTAGACTCTATGAACAAAAATAAACATCTTCTTTGTGTCTGTCAGGTATTCCATCCCAGTGATGGGAAAGCTGACGAATACAACAGAGAAACAAAATATAAATCCCTGGCTCAGAAGCTCACAGTCTTGTAGGAGTGAAGAGTTGGCAGCCGTGCCAGCAAAGGTAGATATCCTTACATCCACATCTAGTCTTCAAAAGACGAATTGCACACATTCAGATAAACAATCTATATTCTATTGCTTTAAATTGGAAAAATAATAATGTGTCTGTATCCCACCAAAAATCTCAATAAATTTCTTCAAGAATTTCTCAAACTTGTAAACATCCATAGAACTAGTCAATGTATGATTTAATATGATATTATAAATGTAATTATCTAATTTTTAGTACTCAATGAACTCCCTTATTGCTTTGTACAGTGTATGCAGATTCTGAAAAGCATCATATGTGACTCATGCTTTACTTTAGTAGAAAGATAATATCCTCAATGTATCCCACACTCACTATGGCTATTGATCATCTGCATGCAGTACTTCTCTACATTGAAAAAATAAGAAATGATTAATACTTCCCAGAATAAGCAATATTTTACAAAATGAGAAACACTTTCAAGGATCTTCTGCATTTTCTCCTGCAGAGAATAAAGAAATGTAGATGTATGCATGGCCAAGTTGTGTCCACTGTGTGTTGACTTCTTTCAATGTACATTGTCACTTCTGACGTATGTACTTTTCCAGGGGTCCTGCATTTACCTGGTTTCTCTGATACATTGTGGCCCATAATTTTACTTAACAGTGTGCCTGAGAATGATAATTGATGATACAAAACAAAGGAATCTCAAGATAAGATCCTTTTGGGAGGATGGTTGACATTTGACTTCAGGGCATGCTCACTGCCATTTATATGCCCGCTAGGCAGACTTATTATGATGGGTTTTGGTCTGGAGACAGACTGTTGGGTGAACAATTTTGCAAGTCATTATGGAAAATGTTAAATTGAGTCTGCAGATAACCAGAGACACCCATATTTTTAAGAGGCATGGGCATAAGGTAAGGGAGCATGTGGATGCTGCCTACAAAGGTCATAGAAGAGAAACAGCAGCAGGAAAGAGCTAGAGGATGATCATTCCCCAGACAGGCAGACAGAGAGATGGGGGAGAAGGCATTCTGGGCTGAGAAAAAACCATATAAAAGTCGTAGGGGCAAAACATCCCAGCACATTGTGTTCAGGGACCTGAATACAGCTTCTTAAGGCTGAGGAACAAGGAGGGGGCAACATGAGCTTAGAGAAAAAGGCATCTTTGTTTGGATGTTATTTTGAAACATGAGTTACAACTGAAGGCTTTTAAGCAAGAGTGCTAGCATCACACTTTGAAGTTTTAAAAAAAACACCCTAGCGACAAAAAAGAAAACGGATCTGAGGACAAGCAGAAGCCACAGATGATGAGGACACAGAACAGAAGCAACGGAGATAAAGAAAAGAGCGGACTGGGGAGGCTGAGAGGCGGAGCTGAGAGGTTTGTGCTCTCGGACAGTGAGCAGCCTTTTTCACCCCAGTATTGTATACCAGGGAATTCAGGGTTAGGGGCTGAGTCTTTTCTGTTTGTGTGTCCTAAAGGCAGTTCTGGGCAGACATATGATACAAAGTAAGAAAAATTTCCTTGTTTTTCCAAGACCTCATCAGCCAGAGCCAGGTGCTAAGGTAATGAACCAGCAGGTTAAATGAGTGCTTTCTGAATAGGCTCTCATAGACCCTGTCTTAGGGCTTTTCTTTCTTTTTTTCTTTTTCTTTCTTTCTTTCTTTCTTTCTTTCTTTCTTTCTTTCTTTCTTTCTTTCTTTCTTCTTTCTTTCTTTTTCCTTCCTTCCTTCCTTCCTTCCTTCCTTCCTTCCTTCCTTCCTTCCTTCTTTTTTCATTCTATTTTGAAAAAGGATGTGTCTATATTGCTGGGCTTGAACTTGTGATCATCCTCTCTCAGCCTCCCAAGTAGCTGGCATTTCCGGGGTGCACCACCACACCCTGCTCAACATAAGTTTCAAAGTTCACATACATTTGTAGTTCACAACGAAACGACAGCAGTCTCTTAATTTCAGGCTTCTCTTTTTAATTTTGACTACAGTCTCCACTATGTGGAGAGTAGAAGGCTCAGCCGGAATACTGCAGTATCTCCTAATTGATCTCTACCCTCTATTTTCTTGCCTAAAGCCCCAGAGACAGACCATTCTTGAAGCAGGGTCTTGGGAATCTCAGAGCAGGGCTGTCTTGACCTCAGCTGAGCCGAGGCCACCCAGCTTCTTCCATCATTTTGCTCTCTCCTGATGGAAATAGTGTCCTTATTCATCCACCTCACACAGATGCTGGACAGATCGGTTAGTTAATGCTCAAACGTTGCCTCGAGGAAGAACAGTGGCGGATTATTATTGTTACTCTTTTGCCTAAGATTCGTTCTCTGCCTTTGAAAGGGAGTCACAGAATGACCACTAATGGTTAGTTTTGATGCTGTGCTTCTCCCAGCTGGATATTGATTCACCGAGAAAATGAACTGTCTTCACATAGAAGATAGAAGCCTATTCGTCCATTTTAAATGATGTGACTAAGTCACCATCGA